ACATGCTCCCTCTAGATGAAGATTGCCAGCAACTCCAGGGTAACATGAACTTTTCAGCTCATGATCTCAAAGGGAGAAAGAGCTTTTCTTTGCCAGCATCCCTATTTATCCTTTTCCCAAAGATCTCTGATTAGCCCTATTTGGATCACATGATCTTTCCTGGAGCAATCACTGTTTCCAGGAGCTATATCCCCTGTGGTGGAAGAGACAGGGGAAGCTGCTTGACAACTCTACGGAATCCTGACCATTGAAGATGGGTTAGACTCACAGGTGTGCTCAGAAATGTTAACAACTTATTCTGGTGAAGGGGGATGGGGACCTCTGATTTGTGGTATCTTCTGATGTCTGCAGTGCAGCTACTCACAGTATGGCTGATGTCAAGCTACCAACATGTCAGTACCGAAGATGAGGTTGGGAAGAGAGGCTTGGTACTCTACCATCATATATTAATAGTATTTCCTCCACTGAGATAGAACAGATGCAAATAACTTCAAGAGTATAGACAGTTACAAAGGGAAGTAAAATAATTAGAAAGTGATGTTTTCAGTAATTATTATCATTTTTCTATGAGTTATTTCATTATAACTTTATGTAATAAACTTTATTTTTAATAAAGGACTTGTTTAACAACTGGCTCACAAACTTCCTAAAAATTTAAGTCACCTCTCTCAAGCTGGTGTAAGCTAGGTCCAGCACACCAGTGGTTAGAACCTGACAGGGCAGAAAGAGAGTAGTATGTCTACTGTACCTGCCAGTTCCCCTTCTACTCCTGGTGGGGACAAATCAGCTTCAGGTGGCTTTTCAAGGTTGAAGGATATTAATAGCTTAACAGTAGGTCCTTATAGACATCCTGGCCTGCAGCCCCTTGCTTTTGAAGCATTGCCATGTAGGGCTCAGATGTGGGAATAGAGCACCTTTAGCCTGTAGGCATAAAAGCACAGTTCACCGTCAGTTTCCCAGTAAAGAAAGATAGCATTACTCTATGCCAGTCCTAAATGCATTTCAAAAAATATAAACTAAGAAGAAACATAACCTCTTGCTGGTGTCCACTTTGTCAGAATGAAAAGTTGCTTATTGATGATTGTTCACTATAAAAGTTCACAAGGAAGAAGGAATATTGAACATGTCCCTATTAATCCTTTTTCTATTGTTTGCAGAATCTCACTTGTTTTGAACTTACTGGGAAGGAGTATTACTTCGTACCCACCTTTTGCTCTACCCTTGAAGCTTCTTTCAGTTTATAGGGGGCTGAGGCTGGAGGCAGTGGGATGAGTGAGGAAGCTGCAGCAGCAGTCCAGGTGAGAGATGATAGAGGCCTGAGTGTGAGCATGGAGGTGGGGTTGGAGAGGTGCCTGATGGCAGACTTCAGCCAGAACAATAGCCCAGAGACCTAACTTTCAGCTAAAAGAGCATAGGTCAGTAATACGCATGCTTAAAAAATGTAAATAATGAGAAAATAAATGTACTCTATATTCTAATAAATTTAATATATTTCTTGGGAAAAGCTACTTAACAAGAGCTGAAGAAACTATTTCATGACGAAAGTCAGATCCATTCCACCCACCAACATGCTGCAAATCAAGTCACTTGTACTTGGGCATATAAAAAAGAATGAAGCATTATTTTACTGGGGATATTTTCAGTAGGTAAAGTTAAGAGAATTCAGTAGGTAAAGAATTAATGCTTTCACAGAATGTGGTATATCTCACTAAATATGGGTGTTCGGGTATGATTTATTATCTACAAAATATCTAGTAAAGGCCAACACTTAGACATTAATTCAATTTTAGAGTCTGCAATCAAAGAAAACTCCTAGGGCAGCTTGCTTAAAAAAGAATAAGCTATGTTGCTTTCCTCTTGCATGGGCTGAAACCATCAAACCAACATTTCTATGGAAATCGAGTCACCTTTTCATCTAGAGAACAAAGAGGCCAGGCAGGGACCAACCTAAGGTATAAATGCAAAAAGGTCACCCAATGTTTCTGCCAGAAGCAACAAAGCTCCTATTAAATAATGTTCGCCTGATCTATATTAAAGAGAAGTTGAAGGACAAAAGAATAATCCTTTAGAGTCTTTGAGAAGCTGTTGGAAGTCTTTCTAATGTCAATCAACAGCACTACAATGTACATCATTGTGCACCATCAGCAAATACCCTTCAGATGCAACCTAGAACTACCTTTACAAAGTGAAACATTTTTGGGAATGTTGGAAATATGCAAATGCACCAGCAACATCTAACAGACCAGTGACTGAATTTTTAAAAAGTGGCAGGTGTCTCTTTCCATAGATCTTATTTACTTCTAACAAATGAATGAATTAGTATCAATTTTCTATTTTCAGATTTGGTTTTGGGCTCTCAGTAAATTCTGCTTCTGCAGTGACATGTTTGGATATTAGCACTATCGTATGTTTTGCTACAACTGTCACTGTTTATACCAGGCAATGTATTAGGACTTTACAAATACTTTCCCTGGAAGATACATGATACATTTCACAGATAAGGTTACTGAGTCTTAGAGAAGTTAGGTAACCTTCAATGTTAGGAAGGGTGTTGAACCACATGCTCCACAGTAGATTTTGTGTTCTTAATTTCTGCTTTCTATTGGTTGCCCTGTTAAGTAATAATGCTACTCAATACACATGGTATACTTTACAGTTTGTAAAGTGCTTTGCCAAACATTATCGAATTTGAACATAATTCCCCAAATGTAGTGATTTAGAATTATCCTTAGTCCCTTCAGTGCTCACTTTAAATATTGATCTACTTTATCCATAGAGGGAAAGCAAAATGATTAAGGCCCAGAGTAAAGGCCAAGTCCATAATTACCCTGGGATAAGGTAGTTTTTACAGGGCTCTCTATCTCCTTTCTCTGATCTCTGTAAAAAGGCCTGCCTCTTTGGTATCACACCCCGCTATTAGACTCCACTAATTGCCAGCTGGTTGATTGCTATATTATTTCAACAATGCCCTGGGGCATAAATTACTCTGTGGTTTAATCCAAGAGGTCGTTTTTGAGGTCAGTGTCTGAAGTTTTTTCTGACTCCAGTGGGGCTCTTCTTAGGTGTTCTTTCTCTGGTTCTCCCTGGTGAACTAGCTGGCCTATGGTTTAGCTGGTTGCTGTTAATTGAGAAGTCTCCTCTTATTTTTTTTTTTTGCCACCAAAATCTCCATTGTTTTTGATAGTGCCTTTAGGCCTGAACTTTCTCTCTGTTTCAAATTAAGTCAGTTCCTTTGGGGGTCTGCTTCTCACCCTGGGCAAAATCCCTGAGCCTAAAGGCAATTGAGGTCTTAGTATTCTTGGCCTGATGAGCATGGAGGTAGAACTCCACGCTACGAGTTAAGGTTGAATGAAAGAAGGGAGCCCCTGATTTCTTGACTGCACGCACCAGGAATTTAACCTCTTCAACTGGAGATGGCAGCCTGCTTGTCCTGGTGAGTTACAGCCTTAACAAAGGACCTGAGAAGAGAGGGACCCCCATCTTCTTGGCCACAGCTGCCCAGGGTGGATGAGGGGATTGGGGGCAGAATTGGATGGGAGAGAGGGGGTGGGTTGTGGTTCAAGTCACAGACTCTGGCAGTTCTTATTGAGTTTTAGTAGATTTCCTTGAATACATGCTTCTTCATTTGCTATGTGCCCTCAGGACAATTTTCAGAGACTTTAAATGGTTGCTTGTATTTTTTTAATAGTTTTACCAAATATGCTTGTTTCACTGGGGAATAGGTCTGTAGAACTCACATTGCCATCCAGGAAGTGAAACTCCCCAGTACAGGCATACCGTGGAGGTATGTCAGGTTCAGCTGCAGACTACCTCAGTAAAGTAAATCATGCAACTAAGCAAGTCACACGTATTTTTTCTTTGTTTGTTTCTCAGTGAATATAAAAGTTATGTTTACATTATATTATAGTCTGTTAAGTATGTAATAGCATTATGTCTACAAAATATGCTTATTAAAAATATATTATTGCTAAAAATGCTAACAATCACCTGAGCCTTCAGTGAGTAGTAATCTTAATGCTGGTGGAGCGTCTTGCCTTGATGTGGATGGCTGCTGACTGATAAGGGTGGTGGTTACTGAAAGCTGGAGTGGCTGAAGCAATTTCTTAAAATCAGACAATAATTAAGTCTGCCACATTGACTCTTTCTTGCATGAATAATTTCTCTACAGCGTGCAATGCCGTTTGATAGCATTTTACCCACAGCATAATGTTTTCCTCAAAATTGGAGTCAATTTTCTGAAATCCTGCTGCTGCTTTGTCAACTAAATTGATGTAAAATTCTAAATTTTTGTTGTCATTTCAACAATATTCACAGCAACTTCATTAGGAGTAGATGGCATCTGAAACAACCACTCTCCTTACTCGTCTGTAAAAAGCATCTGCTCATCTGCTAAAGTTTTATTGTGAAATTACAGCAGTTCGGTCACATTTTCAAACTCCACTTCTAATTCTAGTTCTCTTTGCTAATTCTACCACCTCTGCAGTTACTTCCCCCAGTGAAGTCTTCGATTCCTCCAACTCATCCATGAAAGCTGGAATCAACTTCTTCCAAATTGATGTTAATGTTGATATTTTGACCTCCACCCATGAATCACACATGTTCTTAATGACATCTAGAATGGTGCATCCTTTCCAGAAGGTTTTTTAATGTACTTTCCCAGATCCATCAGACGAATAACTGTCTATGGTAGTTATAGTGTTATGAAATATATTTATTAAATAATAAGATTTGAAATTTAAAATTTCTTCTTGATCCATGGGATGCAGAATAAATGTTGTATTAGGAGGCATGAAAATGACTTTCATCTCCTTCTGCATATCTGTCCATCAGAGCTCTTGAGTTACTAGGTGCACTGTCAATGAGCAGTAATATTTTGAAATTTTTTTCCTGAGCAGTAGGTCTTAACAGTAAGCTTCACATAGTAAACCATGCTGTAACAAACATACGTTTATCTAGGCTTTGTTACTCCATTTATAGTCCACAGGCAGAATAGATTTAGAATGATTCTGCTGGTGGACCTGGCACCCACCCAGGAGACGGTGAACCTGACCTGGTCCCGCGCCAGTAAGAAGCCTGTGCTCCACGTGACCCCAAAGCAGCAGAGGCAGCGCAATGGCACTGTCACCATCACATCCACCCTGCCAGTGGCCACCAGAGACTGGATCGAGGGGGAGACCTATCACCGCAGGGTGACCCACCCCCACCTGCCCAGGGCCCTTGTGCGGTCCATGACCAAGATGAGCGGCCCGCGCGCTGCCCTGGAAGTCCACGTGTTTGCAATGCCAGAGGAGCTGGGGAACCGGGACAAGCGCATCCTCACCTGCCTGATCTAGAACTTCCTGCCCATGGACATCTCGGTGCAGTGGCTGCACAGCGGGGTGGTGCTCCAGCCCTCCCGGTACAGCACCATGCCGCCCCACAGGACCAAGGGCTCCGGCTTCTTCGTCTTCAGCCGTCTGGAGGTGACCAGGGCCGAATGGGAGCAGAAAAACGAATTCATCTGCCGTGCGATCCACGAGGCAGTGAAAGACTCACAGACCGTCGAGAAAGCGGTGTCTGTAAATCTTGGTAAATGACGCCCTCCTGCCTCTCTCCCTCCCAGGGCTCGGTCCAGCGGTGCGGTGGGGAGGGCTGGCCAGACCTTCTGTCCACTGTTGCCACGACCCCAGGAAGCCACCCCCAATAAACAGTGCATGCTGAGAGGAAAAAAAACAAAAACAAAAAAAAAAAACCAAAAAAACTAGGAGTTTCAGAATGGCAAATGAGCATTGGCTTCAACTTAAAGTTATGAGCTGCATTAGCCCGCAACAAGGGAATCAGCATGTTCTTTGACGTTTTGAAGACAGACATTGACTTGTCTCTAGTTATGAAAGTCCTAGATAACATCCTCTTCCAACAGAAGGTTTGTATTAGTCCATTCTCATGCTGCTAATAAAGGCATACCTAAGACTGGGTAAGGAAAGAGGTTTAATTGACTCACAGTTCAGCATGGCTGGGGAGGCCTCAGGAAACTTACAATCATGGCAGAAGGGGAAGCAAATACGTCTTTATTCACATGGCAGCAGCAAGGAGAAGTGCTGAGCAAAAGGGGAAAAGCCCGTTATAAAACCATCAGATCTCCCGGGAACTCACTATCACAAGAACTACATGGGGGTAACCACCCCCATGATTCAATTATCTCCTGCTGGGTCCCTCCCATGACATGTGGGGATTATGGGAACTACCAGTGCAAGGTAAGTGGTAGATGGGACACAGCCAAACCATATCAAGGTTGTTTCATCTACAATGAAAATCTGTTGTTTAGTGTAGCCACCTTTATCAATGATCTTAGCTAGATCTTCTCAATAACTTAGAAGCTTCTGCATCAGCACCTGCTGTTTCACTGTGCACTTTTAAGTTATAGAGAGGGCTTCTTTCCTTAAAACCTCTTCAACCAACCTCTGCTGGCTTACAAATTTTCTTCTGCTGTTTCCTTACCTCTTTTAGCCTCCATAGAATTAAAGTCAGGGCTTTCCTCTAGATTAGGCTTTGGCTTAAGAGAATGTTGTGGCTGGTTTGATCTATCCAGACCACTGAAGCTTTCTTCACCTCAACAATAAGGCTGCTTTGCCCTCTTATCATTTGTGTGTTCACTGGAGTAGCACTTTTCATTTCCTGCAAGAACTTTTCATTTGCATTCACAACTTGGATTAGCTGTTTGGGGCAATCCAGGCCTAGCTATCAGCTTATCTGATATTTTGATATGCTTTCCTCACTGAGCTTAATTACTTCTAGCTTTTGTATTTATTTTTTGATATATAATGTTTGTACATATTTATGGGGTACATGTGATGTTTTGATACATGTGCAGAATGTGTAATGATCAAGTCAGGGTACTTAGGATATCCATCACCTCAAGCATTTATGATTTCTTCATGTTAGAAACATTTCAAATACTTTCTTCTAGCTATTTTTAAATACACAATGCATTATTGTAATGGCAGTCACTCAAGTATGCTATCAAACATTAGAATTTATTTATTCTATATTTCTTGTTTTAATGTTTGTACCTATTAATCCACCTCTCTTTAACCACCCTCACATTCTCCCCAGCCTCTGGGAAGTATCATTCTACTCTTTGCTTTCATGAGATCAACCTTTTTAGCTTCTATATATGAATGAGAACATACAATGTTTGTCTTTCTGTGCCTGGCTTATTTCACATAACATAAAGGTCTCCAGTTTCATCATGTTTTTGAAAATGACAGGATTTCATTTTTTAAAATAGCTGAATAGTATTCCATTGCATATATATGTATATGTGTGTGTATATATATATATATATATACATATACCACATATGTATATGTATATATATCATATTCATATATATATATAGATATATATACCACATTTTCTGTAAATTTTTACTATGAATGAATGTTGAACTTTTATCAAATGCTTTCTGTGCATCTATTGAGATGATCATATGGTTTTCATCATTCGTTCTGTTGATGTAATGTACCCTATTTATTGATTTGCATATGTTGAACCATCCTTGCACGCCTGTAATAAATCTCACTTGATCATGATGTATTATCTTTCTAAAGTCTTGCAGAATTTGGCTTGCTAGAATTTTGTTAAGAATATTTGCATCTATGTTCATCAAAGATACTGGCCTGTAGGTTTTTTTTTTTTTGTCTTTGTCTGGTTTTGGTGTCAGGGTAATGTTGGCCTTATCAAATTGAACTCTTTATTGTTATGTAATGCCCGTCTTTGTCTTTTTTAAGCTGTTTTTTTTTTTTTACTGTTGTTGGCTTAAGGTTTGGTTTATCTGATTTAAGAATGGTAGCCCTTGCTTTTTTTTTTTTTTCCATTTGCATGGTAGATTTTTCTGTAATCCTTTACTTTGAGCCTATGGGTGTTGTTACATGTGAGATGAGTTTTTTGAAGACAGTAGATGGATAGGTCTTTAAAAAAAATTCAACTTACCACTCTGTTTCTTTTATGTAGAACATACAGACTATTTACATTCATTACATCCAGTATTAATTTACAGTAATATTTATATGTAAGGCTTTGATCCTATTGTGACATTGTTTGCTGGTTGTTTTATAGTTTCTACTGTGTGGTTCCTTCACAGGGTCTGTGGACTATGTACTTAAGTATGTTTTTGTGGTAGCAATATTGTTCTTTTTTTTTTTTCATTTTTAGAGCCCCCTTAAGGATCTCTTGTAAGACTGATCTTGTGGTAACTAATTTCCTTAGTGTTTGCTTATCTAGAAAATATTTTATTTCTCCTTCATTTATGAAGTTTAGTTTGGCAGTATATGAAATTCTTCATTGGTGTATCTTTTCTTTTAGAATGCTAAAAATAGGCTCCCAATCTCTCCTGGCTTGTAAGGTTTCTGCTGGGAAGTCTTCTGTTAACCTGATGCATTCCCTTTGTACATGACCTGACCTTTATCTCTCAGTGCCTTTAAATATTTTTCTTCATTATTGATTTTGGACAGTCTGGTGACTATATGCTTTGGAGACATGCATTGTGTATAGTATCTCAGAGGTATTCTCTGGAGTTTTTGTATTGGATGTCTACCTCTCTAGCAAGATTAGGGAAATTTTCTTGAATTAGTCCCTCAAATATGTTTTCTAGGTTGTTTTGTTTTCATTCATCTCTCTTAGGAATGTCAATAATTTATAGGTTTGTTTGATTTACATAATCACATATTTCTCAAATACTTTGTTCAGTTTTTAAAGTTCCCTTTTCTTTATTTTAATTTGACTGGGTTAGTTGGAAAGACTGGTCTTCATGTTTTGAAATTCTTTCTTCTGCATGGTTCAGCATATTGATACAGCCTCTAATTGTATTTTGAAATTTCTTGTGAGTTTTTCAATTCCAGAAGTTCTTACTGATTTCTTTTAAGATGTTTATTTCTTCCTTCATTCCTGGATAGCTTTAGAAGTTTCTTTGTGTTGATCTTCAACCTTGTCTTGCATCTCGTTGAGCTTCCTTGCAATCCATGCTTTGAATTCTTCATCTGTCATTTATGCATTTCCATTTTAGTTATGGATCACTGTTGGAAAGCTAGCATGATTCTTTTGTATTGTCACTACATTCAGATTTTTCATGGTGCCAGAATTATTGTGCTGATTCCTTTTTATCCAGAGACACTTGCACTTCATATTTTTATAATTATTTTCTTTTGATGATCTTTGATGTTACTCATGGGTAGAATTTTTTTTTGTTTGTTTTCCTCTCTTTTATTATATTATCATTGAGGTTTTTCTCTTTCTCTTTGCCCTCTTCCCTAGGGGTTGTTACTGTAGAAAATGCTGGGTAGGATATTTTTGTTTTGTTTCTATATTTCTATGCATTTCTGTTGACAGTTTTTTTTATTGCGCTCTGGAGTTCTACCTACAAGCCAGTAGATTGTGCTTATAGGTAAGAGGCAGCTGTGACCAACATAGCTGAGTGTATGTTTGATAGTTGCTTACTGGGAAAAGCTCTCTGTTGCCTCAGACAATGGCCTAATGTATGGAATACACAGAGGTCTGAGCTCCCTGCTTATCTATCCCCCCTGATTGGGGGGAGGGGAGTGCAAGATGGGTAGAGCTGGATTTAGCAAGTCTGTTTTCAAGTCCACTAATGACAGGCACAAACACCAGCACTGAGGGAGAATTCAGTTGGGTGGCCACAAAGTGACCAGAGGTGTGCCTAGGCCTGGATCCAGGAAACTTCCTTGGCTCCAAGTTCTCTGCATGGGAATGTGTGGTGGCCTAAACTCCTAATCCAGGAAAGTGGGTGCTCCAGATGCCTGGAGATCTTCTCAGACGTGGAGCAAAGAGGGCCCCTCTGCACCGAGATCTCTGCACAGAAAGGGTAGGCCAGCTCGGGCTGTTGTTTTAGGTGAACAGGTGCTCTGAAGGCCTGGAGATCTGCCTGGGTGTGGAGCGGAGAGGGTCCCACTACACCGTGATGATCTGTGTCCATGAAGGGAGGAACATGTCAGGATGCTGGTCCCGGTGAGCGGGTGCTCTGAATACCTGGATTCATGCTGGGGGCGGGGAGGAGGGCAGGGGATAGAGCAGAGAGAGTCCCACTATTCCACAATCTCAGCAGGGCAGCAGGCTGGGACACCCTGGCACATGGGGATTGTTTCTAGGTCGCTGAGACTGCAAATCTTGTCACCCAGGAAAACTGAAGTTATAGCAGCTCTCCATTGCCCCAGGCCTGTGATGGGGGAGAGCACAATTCCAGTGCCTGCTTCTGAAGTGCTTTCTATATTTCCGGCTGTAGAGGCTCTTACCCCACTCCAAAGCAGGTGCTCCAATCCCTGGCCCTAGATTAAAATGTCTGCATGGCCACACTGCTGGATCACCAAAGAACGGCTGACTTTGTCTGTATCTGGATTGAAAAGGAGATCCTGCTCTCAGTCCCAGGTCTGGGAAATGACTGCAGCTTTTCCTGGTGTCTTTCTTTCACGGTGTCTCCCAGCCTCTCTCCAAGTTAGCTTCAGGGATTGCAAGAAGCAGAGTGCTCTCCCTCAGCCCCAGCAGCTTGCATACCCAGTGGAAAGGTGAGTCACAGAGGGAGGCTCTTTGCTTCTTTCATGAACTGGGGCTTCACTTACTTTTATCAGCTGGATGCCATCACAGGGCCCGTTTATGAGTTCTCCTCCCTGGGATTTGGGGTGTCCTTCATGGTTCTGGTAGGTT